AAACTATAATACATAGAATGATTTTGGATTCATATGAAAGCTGAATGTTTGGGGAATGTACTAAATATTCATACGTTGTTGTGGTTTCATCCATTTGGCTGAATCAGTGTCTTCATTTAAGAATGTGCATTAATTGTTAATAGTCATGAACTAATTAGTCAACCTAGTCAATAATCAATTGTTATTATTTTAGGTGGAGCTACTAGCAACATGCCTCTAATGTATAGTTGACATCCTTAAGTTCCCCAGAAAAGAGAAGTCCTTCTTCTTTACTAGCAGTAACAGTTTTCATTTGTAAATAGTGGAAAACACTCCTGAATGTGACCAAAAATATTACTTCAGTAAAGAGATGGCTAACAACTAAGGACCCTGTAGAACCAACGATTCTATTATTGCCTCCTACATGATCTTTCAAGACTGGATAATATTTATGAATGCCAGATGCCAGTGAAAATACTGGAAAATCAAAAATGTCAATTTTCTTCAAATCACCAGACAGATATTATAATCCTTTTTATATAGCTATCAATTTATATTTATACTAATTTTAATCTTTGTATATTCTAGATCAAGATTCATGTTCAACAATCATCTAGGAGCAAGTGCTTACGAAAATACAGGCCATTTTCGAAGACGTTATTTTCCACACTGTCAAATACCAAAGTTTTATAATTAATTGTGGCGAAGCTATGATAGTTACAAACATGTGTTTATGCTCATTTTAATCTCTATCCATTCTAGATCGATATTCACATTCAAGATTCTTCTGGAAGCAAGTGTTTATGAAAATACAGGTCATTTTCTAAGAAGTTGTTTTCCAAACCGTCATTTGTCAAATACCAAAATTTGATAATTAATTATGACGAAGTGATTGAAACTACAAATCTGTATTTACGTTCATTTTAATCTCTGTATTTTCTAATGTATTTTTCTGTGTTTATGAAAATACAGGTCATTTTCGAAGAAGTTGTTTTCCCATCTCTTATTTGTCTAATGCCAAATGAATTTGTTAATGAATTATGAAAAATCTATTGCAGCTACAAACATATTTGTACGCTCATTTTAATCTATGCATATTCAAGATCAACATCCATATCTAACATTCATCTGGGAGCCGGTGTATACGAAAATACAAGTAGTTTTCGGAGGGGTTATTTTCATCCCCAAAGGTACAGTATGTTTGGTTGCCAACACTTTAGGCGTAAATTAAATATTACGTTTTTGTTGTAGCTATCGCCATCTGTTAACATTATACCAAAGGTCATAGTTCGGGCATTTTGGCGCTGTATAAAATCCATTTCCTTTAAAGCGTACTAATTTAAACAAACAATCATTTCAAAATAGTGCTTGAACTAATCTAATGTTATTACTTTAGTCTATTAAGTTGAATGATAATTAGTGTTCGAGTTATTTGTATTTTAATTATGACATGCAGAGCCATCTGTCGGAATTTTCAGAAACAATAATTTGAATCAAATTTTGTTTGTAAGTGAACTCGTATTGTTTTTGTTCATAACACTGGACAAGTAAATTTTGAAGAAAAGCTGGGAAATCCGATTGAAAAACTGTAATTTTCACAAAATCTAATTGAACAAAATGCGAAAAAAATTTAAAATTTAACTAAGTCCAATTGAAAAAAGTTTATCTGTTGTTCATAAATATATATTGTTTTCTTGCAAATCATTTCATGTATATTTATATATATATATCTTCTATAAAAAAATAAAAACGAGAATCCACACTATAGAGTCTTTGTGATGGTGTTTTGACTGGTGGCAAAGGACTTCCTGGATAGAGCGTCCGGTAAACGATCCTTCAATTGAAACAACAACTCATTAATAGAAATTAGAAGCAAATAATGGAGAGTGTTTTAGTAACCTTATCCAGGGAATAATTAGCGAATGGATTGCGAGCTATGACCAGCTCAATGCGATCTCCGGCAGAGGCAATCAGAGGCACCGTTAGGCAACAATCGAAATCCTGAGTTTTAGTGTCATTCACCTAAAGATTGGATGAAGATGGCGTTAATAAAAAGTTATTTAAAAAGTGTTTGATTACTTGAACGATCCTGTCGTAGGGTTTGAGAAGACCGACTATATCGGCAGGTCCGCCCTTCCGTATCCGGTTCACGTAGACACCTTTCTCGTAGAGTCCATCGCTCACGCTGAAACCGTAATCATCGTACACCGAATCCTTGTAAAGAGTGACATGGTATATTTCGTTATCCAAGATGCTTTCGTGACTGAAGGAGTCTGGTAATCTATCCATAAAATTCCTGGATTGACCGTAATTGCTGCTCTCGTACTTGTTCAGAGTGTTGGTGAAATTGTAGTTCGGTAAAGGAAGAGGACTTGGGCAGAAAATGTCTTCTACGTCCGAGTAGAATTGCAGCTGCGAATCGTGCTTCCTTTCAGTTTCTTGGTAGGAGAGCGGCTCACTGAGGACACTTTCAAAGTCTTTGGGACAGACAGTAGAGTCGGCGTTCTCTCCGGGATTACTGTCCCAGGAATGAACTGCGCTATCGATGCTTGTGAGACCAGGACTAGAGTAGTTGCATCTGCTTTCCTCCATAGATGTTTCATTCTTCAAGGTTCTGGCTATCTTCAGTTGCACCCTATCTCCGCTACTTTGTAACAGTCTGATTGCTTCAGACAGTGGTCTGTGCTCCAAACTTTCAAAGTTAATGGCCAACAATCGATCACCCACGCGAAGAGCTCCAGTTTTCTCAGCCAATCCACCTGAAAATAAAGATAATGTGTTTTTCATTCTTGATTTGATTAACTAATTTAAATTGAGCAACCAAATGAAATACCTTCAGTTAATCTGGAAAGGACGATAGGTTCCAGGCAATCTTCGCTTCCGGCAATGGTGATGCCAAGGGGTCCTCCGTACCTCACCAGCTCCACGCTGTAGACAACACTGTCCAACAACAGATTGGAATTATCGGTCTCAGTCTTTTCAATTTTAAGCGTCACGATGTCGTTTGATGTGCCTTGCATCGCCTCGAACGCTGACTCGACGTTCAGATGATCCAAAGATCTATTGTCGATGGCCAAAAGACGATCTCCAGCATGGATTGTTCCGGTGCGATGGGCGATCGAACCACGTTTGATCTCGGAAATGATGAACGGTTCATCCGGATGCGATTTGGATGCTAAAATGTATTGGATCAGTAAGGTGATGGTAATGAAACGACAATTGTGTACCGGTGATGGTGATGCCCAGGCCGGGCGCCCTTTTCGCCAATTTCACCGTAAAAATTCCACTCGCCGGGACTATGGAATCGGCCACATCGAACTCGATTTGCAGCGCTATTTTGCCCGTATTGCCTGGCTCGTTGCCCATTTCTAAAATCGTACTTATCTCCTGCAGAGTTAAATTTGGTTGGTGATTTACGGAAATTATCCGGTCGCCGTTCTGCAGACACCCGCACCTGCGAAAACAAAAGAGCTTCTCGATGCTGTAACAGTTACACATACAAATATATCGGTTTTGCAGCTTCACCTGTATGCAGGACTGTCCGGTATGATCCTAGCTATGAGGATGTTCGCAGGTCGAGACTCGCTGTGCTCTCCGACGCCGATGCTCAAACCGTAGCCCTTTCCCCGTTCCGTAACCAACGTTACCGATAAATTCTCCGAGTGACATACTCCCATATTCATCGAGTAACCATAACTACCTAAAAAAAAAGCATTGATCACCACGGAAATGCATTTCTTCGAAGCTCACCGGAATCGTCCAAAGATTTGGAAAGGGAGCTTTGTCTGTTGGTCCTGTTCCTCAGGATCCTGGAACGTTTGGAGTTGATGGTGCTGAATCCTGCGGACATCGTTGGGCTGCTCGCGTAGGGTCCTTCACACGAATAACAAAAAAAAAAATCAGATTTGAAAAGCAAAAAAAAAACAACAACAAATATATCCTGAAAATAGCACAGCGGGACAAAAGGAGGATACTTTAATAACCACACTCAACCTTATATGATTTATCTTGGCGTGCGGGCCAAGATCCTTGTCCGTCGAAGAGAGGGATAACAAAGAAAACAACGAAAGTGATGATGATGAAAAAAGAAAGAGAGATGCGCACGTGGAGTCGGAAAAGTAGTGTAAAATAAATAAATAAAGGCGCGAGAGGATGAAAAATCAAAGAAGCGAACGGTTCTTCTGCCAAGTTGCGCGAGAGGTAAACACGTTTAAGTGAAATAGATCAAGAGGACTCTTTGATCCATTTATATCCGGACAGGATCCTCCTCCAGGTAGACTAAATTTAATAAAGTCCAGGTGCCGCCTGAGTTATTGCATTCAACTGCTTTCTCACCCGCACTTAATGCTTAATTGCATTCCGAATGAAATTGCATGCAGTTTCATTGATTTAAATTCAAAATTTCAAATTTAGCTACATGTTTTCCGCATTGCTGAATACGTGTAAACAAGTAAACATACGTTATTTTCTCATTTCAAATTAACGCATCTTCATATTTATAGAATGATATGAAAAAGTTCAATTTATTCGAATTTATAGTATAGTCCAGAGGTTTCCAAACATTTTAATGTCGTAGACCCCTTGTTATGTATTTCGGTTTTGGATAGACCCCCTACTTACATGATATTGATTTTTTGTAAATTTATCATTTATATTGGGACATCTTAATAATTATTAAGATCTTTGCTCATTATGTGCTCATTATGTGCAGGTTTTTACAAGTTCAAAATGTATTGCGACCACAAAGCGAATGCCTCCATCCTACAACTTACACAATTTTATAAACATATATAATTATTTTTTTTACTTCATAAGTACTTTTATAAATAATGTATGTCTTTATATTATAAGATAGTATAATGTAAGTAAATAGGTACTATCAGTGTATGTTGAGATTTCATGGACCCCCAAATTTTTTTTTCGCTGACGTAGACCCCTTGTCAGAGACCCCTAGGGGTCGATATAGACCACTTTGGGAATCAATGGTATAGTCAAACTTTCTCTATGTAATTATTTGCACATTCACATGAAACTATTATACTGAACTTACGTAATATTGTACAATCTCTTTATAATGGCGCTTATTAAACTATCATGATTAATTAAGCTTAAAGTAAATTTGAATATTCTCACCTAGTTGATAGTTCCTGGAGGGTGTCCGATGGACGGCGTGTATAGGGAGAATTTGTATCTTTGTGGCTGTCTTCAGCATCTTCTCGGCTTCGCCGATACTGCCGTTCCACTCGTCTAGTAGGAGATCATCAATAACGAGCAGCTGATCCCCAATATTTAAAGCTCCGCATCGATCTGCGGTGCTGGCAGGGACGATGTTCTCGACGAAGACGCCGGCAGGAATGATGTCGTCGGTGCCAAAATCGCAAGCACAGTTGGTGAGGACGATACCCAGGTCCTCGTTGCAGTTCCGATCGATTTCGACGAGAAGAGGTCCAGTCGCATACTTGACTGACTCCATGATGCTCACGTCGTACTCGAGCGTCAACGTGGAGTAGACCAGATGGCTGCTATCCTTCAGGATCTTCTGCGCGTCCAGCAGCGTCTTGCTGCTCAGATTGTGGTTGTCCACCTTGAGCAGACGATCCCCGACCCGGATCAATCCTGTCCTAAAAATACCAACGTTCCATTCAATATATATATGCGTATATACGTGTACGTATACACGACGAACACAAGTTATGCAGGAATAATTAATTTTCCCGAATTACCCGGCCGAGGTAAATAAACGCTGTCCATCCGCGCGGCACGCAATTAATATGACATTTCCATGAGCGCTGCCAGCCAGTCCAATTATCTGGATTCCTATGGTCGTGCGCTGGTATTAATCAAAGGCATTACGCAAATGTTTACCGTTCCGCAGGTTCTCCTTTGATCTCGTCGGGACAGAGACAACACAACACATTACGAGAGTATATAGACTCACCTGTACGCAGGACCCTGAGGTCGCACCTGGGTAATCACGAGCGGTCTGCTAAGATGAGGGTGATCTGTAACGTTTCCACCGCGAAGCGTTATACCCAGTGATCCGTCCACCCTCTCCACCCGAATCTCCGTTATCTTTGATGTCACGCATAACGAACTCTGCGATGCTGAAAAAAATTACAATATACATTGGTTGTAGTACTAAGAACAAC